AAAAAAAAAAAAAAAAAAAGTCATACAACTAATTAACCAAAAAAAAGGAAAAAGAGTGTGTGTAAATACAAGAAGATTAAACTGCAATTATTCATAAGAATAGCTTTTCGTCTTCTAATTTATTGACTTTCTAATTAGATTAGCCATTAAAAAAATAATTAGATTAGGCATCAAGATTTTTTTTTCTACATAAACTTAAATATTGTATCATAATTGATCATCATAGTTGCTTCATCAGGCAGACATTTTTAGATAGTCATATACTTTTTCAACAAATATGTATACTTTTAAAATTGAAATGTCCTACTTATAAAATCATCTTAAGTAAAAATATGACATTTTATAACAGAAGCATGCATTTCTGTAGAAATAAAAAATAAAAAATGAGATATTTGACCTTCTCAAATAATCTCATAAAAAAATTTGTGCGAAAAAAAAAAATTATGTTTCTCATCATTGATGATCATACTCATTTCCTCATGGATTTTTTTTTTAACATCACATATAGGGGAAATGCTAAGTCCCGTTACAGGATCATTCTATCGAAATTTGTAATCTAGATCATCGTGTACTTTAGTAGATAGTTGATCTAACAGTTATAAACCTCGACAGAATGGTTCCGTAACGGGACCGTAGGATCTCCCATAAATCATGTGAGATATTCTAGACAACATGTATAGAATATTGCATATATACACCAAACACAATACACATTAACAGCGACTGCAAAAATCAACTTCCCTAAACAAGGATATATTATATACTTAATAATATTATATAATCATATGTGATGATTATGCAACTTCTAAGAACCAACATTTAATAAATTAAAGCCGACAAACAATCGCATAATCTGGAAAAAGAGGGGCTTCGAAGTTCAAAAACTATCCACAGTAGTGACAATAATTCTGATCAATTATATACTCATTTAAAACATTACTATAAAAATAAACCCAAAACTAACTAGATTTGCTGCATGTGGACAACAATACACAAAGACACAACCTTTATGTTTAAAAAATCACAGACAAAAGAGAATAATCTTATTAGGCAGCCCACATTCCAATTTTATGTGTTTCTTTCTTTTTTTTTTTTTCACTTTGTTTTTAATTAAATTAAATTAAATAACACTTAAAGTTATGGAGGTGCAAGAACCACGAAGCTTGATACGAATTAAATAACACAAATTCTTTGTGTGATGAAGTCTAATGGTTAGGCTAGTCGATCAATCATACTATATGAAAAAAGAGAGATTCTACAGTCCCGTTACGGAATCATTCTGTCGGGGTTTGTAACCGTTAGATCAACTATCCACGATGGTTACATGATGATCTAACGGTTACAAATCTCGACGGAATGATTTTGTAACGGGACTATAACATTTCCCTTAAAATATACCATTTTTTAGTGAAAATATACATGTTTATGAGAAGAAACATATCGACTGAAGAGAAGACCTGAATAAATAATTATAAGCATAATTGAGATTGTACAATGTAATGTAATAATTAATGCAACTGATGAAATTTTATTGACATCTTAGACAAGAAAATAATTATTTTTAAATTATTAAAATTCTGAGAGAAATATATATATATATATACCTCAACGATGAAAGTATATACTAGTATTTAATTCAGGATTTTGGGTATTGGAAAAACTGGGAATTGGCTGCAGTGGTAAATGCACAAAAAGGGCTAGGATATGAAGAGGCGGTTGTACCAGTGGCATCTGCAGTTGTACCGGCGTAAGTGGCAAAGTTGGGCTGCTGCAAAAAGCCAAGGCCAGAGCTCTCTCCTGTTACATAATTTACAGTTC